TTTATTTTTAATTTTAGCCTATCGTCAGACCTCTTTAGCTACGCGCTCCTATTTCTACGCACTCGTGTTAACTTATGTTTTGCAACGCGTGCATCCTAAAAATGACGTACAGCGTCAGTGCCTAAACCAGGCAAGGGTTTGTCTGAAAAGATTGACGCTTTTTAAAGAAAAGTACCATTTTGTTGCTATGTTTTTCTGTCATGTAACCATTTTGCAAAAAATTCTGCCAGAAATCTGCCAACAAAATCCATTCTGCCAAATTTTCTGTCCAACTCGTTTTTTAACCAAAAATCTGTCATTTTTTAGCCGGAAATCGGCTTAAAACGGTCACCCTGATTAATTAGTAGGATCCTAACACCAACTACATGTATGTGTCAAACCTATGGTGCTAAAAAGGTTAAAATAGTGAATTTATTGCAATCTCTTTGATTTTGACATGTTCTTTATTTTCTTTCTCATGAAGGTTGGAGCAATTCATCCCAAGCGAATGTTGGCGTTTCTGAAACCACTTTGTCACCACACAACCAGATTCCTCAATAAGTTTTCATGTGTCTGTGAGCAGGTAAATCTGTCTTTTAACTTCAAAACCATACCCTAAAACGTCATACAGAACTTGGTTTGCTCAATTTTGAAAGACAAGACAAAACATAACTTTGACAACAAGAATTAGCAAGGCACGGTTGCGGTGTCACCAGGTAAAATTAATCTCTTGTGAATATGTGATGTTTCTGAGAAGTGTTCCGGTTCTTCTCAGAACCATCACATACTCACAAAAGAGATTAATTTCACATGGTGCCATCACAAAGTTACATTGCTGTTATCCTCACCATGCAAACTTTCCACTCTTAACGAGAATAGCTAAAAAACATGTATACTAGGTTTAAATGCAGGGCTCAATTTTGTTACTAACCTTGTAGGCAATACTTTAAAACTGTGTACTTAGGGCTGATAAACTGTAAAGTTGCTTGGAGTACCAGCAGTTTAAAAACCAACAAACATGATGATATTGGGGTCATTTAAGGAAAATATTTTATTGCAAAGCCTGGTTCAGTAAATTTAAACTCACTGTATCACAAGCATTTTTTTTTCAATAACATTTTACATAGGTTTTCGAATGCTTTTTAATTAAAATCTTTCACTCTTAATTTTTTTTTATATCAATCTGGAAGTACTAGCACTGATAAATACACTGTAACTGTACTTGATTATGCAATTAACAAAGAAAGCAGATCTCTCACTCTTAAATTTATTTTTATAGCAATCCGGTCATCCTGGCAACTAATTTTTTTTTTTGGTCCAGAAAAGTAACTTTTCATTCCTTTGTTTTTTGTGTTGCCACAGAAACTGTCAGACTTGAATACAAGAATACAAAAAGTTAGAGGTGACGATGAACATCCTTGAAGCTAAGGTGAGTGTATGGGCGTCGCTAGACCAAATGAAACGGGGTCGTGAACCAAAGTGCTGATGGACCTAATTATGCTGGAAGGTGGGGGAAGGGACTTGACACACTCTGACTAAAAGGGGAGAGATTGGTCACTATGAGACAAAAGGTGTCGCAGTTCGTAGTGGGTATATATGCAGACAGACACACGATTCTGCCGCCAGGACAACACGTTTGCCAATAAAAAAAAGAAGACTGGTGGGTGAACTCTAATGTTTATTTATGCACTCTTAATTTGCTTGGCTGGTGAGTCAAAGCATCGGCTGGAGTGAATTGGCATGTCCAACTGACGTGCACTAAATAGTAAAGGTTGACCTCTTACCCAGAGCGGTTTCAAGCCGTTTTTCAATGACTTCCAGTAAAAGATTGTTACCCTTCATTACTTGATTGTGTGATTATGTACATGTATCCCATGATTGTGTGATAACCCTTACTCTCTGAGGGTAGTTTACTGCATGTCAGTTGGTTATGCCAATGCCCTCCAGCTGCAGTTATTTGGCAGATAACAAGTCTTAACAGTGAAGGCTCCAATTGGCAGGAGTTGGAGGCCCTGGAGGGTGCCTGATACTGACCAGCTGGGGGCACTCACTTTGTTATCAGAGGACTCTCATTGTTCTCTGTGGCATGTATTGGAGTGCCTGTCCAGTTACCCTTGAAATGACATGGCAGATATTGGAGGGCCATGCAAAAAACATAGGAGATTTTCTTGAGGCACAATTGGCATGCGTTGGAGGGTCAAGTAGGGTAAGGTTAATTGCTTTCTTAACCCTAACCCCCTGAATCCTTCAAAATTCTCTTTGCCAAAGTGAAGGATTGAGGTTACATGGCAATAGTGCATTACTGATTTCGTAGGATGCATTTTGTCAAGGTCTTGGGCCGGACCTTGTGTTGTTTGTTGTTGCTCAGCCATGCATAAATGTAGGCCTGGATTATGCTTGAAATCCTCCATACTGCTCCAGGATGTCACGAGCCAAGCCTCAACATATTGACAGTCACTGCCGCAGAATTTTTGCAGGATTCGGGCAGTGGTCACCCCTCCACGAAACCATATTCAAGTAATAATGGAGGTGTTTGCTGGATTGAGGCTACGTTGTATATGCTATTTTTCCACGAGGCCAATTGGAGGATTTTGCAGGATTGAGGCTACATCCTAGGGAGTTAGGGTTAATGAATGCTTTCTGTTATTGTAAATAGACCATTGTTATGTTGCTTCACAATTTAGCCACCCCCAAACAAAACTTTTTATGCCTGTGGCCTGGAAAGAAGATAGAGGGCGCTGTTCTGGTGACCTCATTGACATATCAATTACATTCAATGTGTGTAGAAAGAATAAAACAAAGGTCCCTAAAAGTCTTCCTTGTTTCATCTCACAGCTCCGTACCTGGTATCGAAATAATTTGCTCTATCTCTATTCTCTTTACAGCTAGCATCCATACCTGGTCTGGAGGGTGTAACTGTTGAGGTGCCCCCAGCCCCTGGACCAACTCCAGAGTCTCAACCTGCTGCAGCAGCAACTTGCCAGCCTTGCCTCCGTCGGAAGAGCAGGTAAAAACATCAATGAGTCCGCCATCCATTATCACCCAAATGATGTAAAAATGCTACTCAAAATGAAAAGTGTTTAAAACATTTAAGAAAATAAATCAGTTAAAGTTGGTGATATGAAAATGGCACGTTATGTCTTCATCCATTTATATTGCTGTCTAAAATCAAACAAAAGACAGAATATTTAGGGTATCAGGAGTTCAAATTTGTGGACAACGCATCTTGTGAGTGTGGACAAAGTGTTATCATTTAAAACAAGCTCTCCAAAATATAACTACTGAACAAACATGCAGCTGTAGCTGTCAGGTCAGGGAACCAGACTAGCTGGCTTGCACCTGTTCACAGATGTGTAACCAGTTGCAAATAACATGGACAAACTAAATTTGGTAAATTGGGGGCAGCATTTGGAAAAAAGTCAGTTTTTTTCCAACAATGGTTGGCCGACCATCGTTGGAAATTAATACAGAAAATTTCACTTTTCTTGAAAAACGCCCAGCACACCAGGTGCCATCATTTCATAGGATGCTTGAGTCTGTTAGTCACTTACAGTCAAGTGAGGTATTTCATAGTAATTTGGTAGATTTTTTTTTTTGATGTTTGTTGCAAAGGTTGTATATTATCTTTAAAGTTTCTAAAATTACTCCATGATTTTGTATTGTAACAGGATCTTCCAGCCGTGGAGGCTGCGCCAGAGGCTCCGCCCACAATGACCGTGTCACCAGGACCCACGCTATTTGAAGTATTTCAAGATGATCAATATGGTGAGTTGACTTTCAAAATCCAAACGGGTTTGCCAATTTCATCATTAAACCTGTATAGATTTGGCACTGTGCAGCATAGGTTTGACAACCCCTGGATTCTTATCAAGTTTGTCTTTGTCTTCGGCCTCAGATTAAAAAAAAATCCCGCTATGTACAACCAATTGAAAAGACACCAACCGTGGGTCTTGTGAGACAGAATTTGTTTGTCTCTATAGCAGAACTTGATCAATATTTTATTGGAGTCAAGGCATTAAAATCATGAGAACTTGGAAACGAAAAGGGGCATTTGAAGGCAGCAAAAATCATGCTGCTCTTATTACTAGACTAATGGGAAAGTACTAGAAATTTCATATCATTTTCTTTATAACTTTCTTTCTATGAAACAAAGCTAAACAAGGCAAGCAACGTAAAGCTGGTCCCAGAGTGCACAAAATTGTATTCAATTCGGGCGATTCCCAATGCAGCGCGCCCACCAAGAGTTTGCCATGGAGAGTCCATTTTTTAAGTTGACGGTCGACAAAACATGGCCCATTTGAATGCATGTCAGTATACGACTTGAGCTAATATGTTATAGATTTGGGCATAGCGTTCTACCGCCTTGATAAAAAAAACAAAAAAGGGCAAACAGATCCTCGAATAATGCACTTACGAAACTACTGACAGGAAAAACTAAAAAATTTCAAATGTCCCGCGCTGCGAATTTGTCGACCATCTCCCACAATGCACTTGGAAAAATGAAACTCTTCATGGCAAACTCTTGGTGGCGCACTGCATTGTGAAACGCCCGAATTGATTCAGAATGGCAGTTTCACTGGAAGTCTTTTCATGCATCGGTCTACACAGTGGCCGTGATATAGCCCATCCATTGGCATTACAGGGGTGAACCTATGAGATAGCACTGCCCAACACTCTTCACCAGTCATTCATTCAATCAGCCAGTCAGTCAAATAGGTACAAAGAGGACACAAGGCTGACCATCTGGGACCAGCTAAATATTTTACAGGAAACAAGAAATCTTTGCTTATTTTTTTGTATAAGAAGCTAAATGTCCAATTTATTTTGGGTTTAATTCAGGGTGTACCTGTAGGTGCACTGAGACAGAAACTCCTATTGGACGGACTTAACCCTGACTTGCTTGAGTAAGTAAAGCTATTTTGTTTTTCTTTTAATGGTTGCTTTCAAAACAAAACGAATGCACATAGTGTAGAATATTGCATTCAGTGGTATTCTTGTCCCCAATCTGTGTCAGGTGTGATATAAATGTCATCAACTAGTCCATCTAGAAAATCACAACTCCGTTTGCAAGTCCAGTCACTACTAACAGGGGACAATCAATAACAAAAGATTGCTGTTGTCACGACTCATTCCGATAGTAACCCTAACCCCCTAGGCCCTTTGGGCTAGGAATCATCCTCAATCCTGCAAAATCCTCCCAACTACTACCATGTAAAAATTGGATTCAGCCTCAGTCTTCCAAAATTGTGTGTTATTACTTGAATTTGTTCAGTGGAGGGATGACCATTGCCTCAGTCCTTCAAAATCCTCTAACAATCACTGTTCTTGGGTTGAGGCAGTGCCAATGACATTCAGAAGCAGTGCAGATGATATCGAGCATAATGCAGGGCGCAACTATGCAAGACTGAACATAAACAACGCTGGGTACTGCCTACAAACTTGACGCAATGCATCCTCTAAAATCAACCGGCACATTTTTTTGCCGTTCAGCTTCAATCCTCCAAAAATACCCGGAGGATTTTTGAGGATTGGGCAGGGTAAGGGGTAACACTTTGCTTGAGTCTGGATGACTTGGGATGGACTCTGAGAAGATTTGATGGACTGGAGCACAAGACTAGCGAACTGTCAACAATCGTTTGCTTTTGTACAAGTCAGTCATTTCAAATTTCTTAGAAATCTGAAGGATTTTTTAATCACTGGGAACATACAACAAGGCTGTAGTCTGAGTAATGTTAATGTGGCTCGTCTAATATGAAAACAAATTCTCACAAGAAAGCTTCGATCTGAGCAATTGAATTTGAATTGGGGTTCATTCTCCAGGAGATCCAGAATAATTTTAATGGGGGCCATGAAGATAGTAAAGCTTCGTGGGTGGGGAGGGGGATTGGCTGGACCTAACATGTATGTGGTGCTAGGAGTGCTCTTTTCCCCATTTTCCCTTTCTTTCTTTCCGTTAATATTTCCCAAATCTGTGGAGAGAAACAGGATAAGTAAACTACAGCATCGATTTAAAAATAGTCGTCTTTAATTCTACTCTGCTTTAATTCTCTATTTTTATGCCATTATTCATCAGGGGCATTAACCCTGTCTGTCCTGTTTTGTTTCCCCTACCCACCCCCTCTTCTACCAGTGCGCTAATTATCTGTCATGTTCTGCTTCATTTCAGTACTCCCAATGCTCCTGCACCCCCTGCTGTACAAGACGATTCCGACTCCGACTTCAGCGAGAGCAGCGAAGAACCAGAAGAGTTCAGTGACTAGACTGAAAATCCCCTAAGACGGTTAAAATCCCTCTCCATCCAAAGTAACCAAAACAAAAAATCTGGGTTTTAATTCATGTCAAGATTATAATGCATTGTTGGTCAGTATCACATAAAACTGGTCAACAGGTTCAACTGCAATATATTTCAGTGGCTTTATCCTCTTTTGTTATTGGTTTCAAGTTATGTTCCCCGTGCTGTCACATTCGATTTTGTTTTTTTTCTATTCATAAAGTTTCAACCAAAACCTCCTTTTTCCTTTTATGGATGTATGCAGCCCTCTGAAAAAAATATGGGGGGGGGGGCACAAACAGATGCACATTGAAAGGAGACTGGCTCCCAGTCCTTAAATATTGATAATGATTATGGGGCGGGCCGGGGCCTACCCCACATTAACGGAATTTTTTTTTTTTTTTTTTTACAGTAGATGACCCATTCACAGTTGTGTAGCATCTGGGGGGTAAGGTGGGGGGTTATTTACCAACCCTCCTCCTCCCCCCCCCCAATAGTTTCTCACGAGTGTCCTTTTTCTTCAGCTGTGCACTTTTTTTCACGAGTGCCCCCTTTAATTTAATTTTTTTTTTGCCGTCCCGCGAACGTCTCTATTATCTATAAGGTATCTATTTTTCGGAATGAAACTAGAAAATAGCATGGGGAACACAACTTTAAAAAAAAAAAGCTTTTGGCTGAAATATATGTTAAAAGTTCTCTCAAATGCAATCATATTATTTTCCCTTTTGTTACAGCTGTTTTATATTGACTGCCACATGTATGACTAACAAAATGTGACACTTGCCAACTATTTCATTTCTCAGTTACTTTTAATATGAAATTTGTTGGCATGTGGAGTAAGAGATCCTTAATTTTGGACACCCACTCTACAAATGCTGATGATAACTAGTAGGTCAATTGTCAGTTTTTCAGAAGTTTGAATATCAACTTTTGTATGCTTTTTAACTTCTTTCCTTCAAATTGTTCAAACATATGTTCTTTTTTATTGGCGATTGCTTAAAGATAAGTAATAGGTAAAGCAGCATGATACACAAAAGGAGCCGAAAAGGTAAAAAAAATATTAATAGTAATAATTTCAAGAGAAACCAATTGTCATGTATTTGGAAATGCTGTAAACATATCTGTCATGAATTTGGAAATGCTGTAAACATATCTATCTGTTAACTGGTCTGCATGTGTATTGATGAGAAGCAAAAGCTGAGCTGTTACATTGGTAGCTTTTTGTTTGAGGTAAAT